AAGGAGGGCCAGCAGGGCTCTTCTCTCGTTACTGGGCCGGACCAGATTCCGTTTGCCAGATCCATTGGGAAGAACTCACGCCTACAGCAGCAAGTTTCTCCCCGGCACAACGACAAACATTANTCGTTGTCTTTCTCGGTCGCCCCCTCTTTGACCGCACTCAGGCGCGCAACTTTCAAGGAGGGCCAGCAGGGCTCTTCTCTCGTTACTGGGCCGGACCAGATCCCGTTTGCCAGATCCATCGGGAAGGACTCACGCCTACAGCAGCAAGTTTCTCCCCGGCACAACGACAAACATTACGGGAACCAAGCGGCGTCGACCAAAGCTTCGAGGAAGGACCGGTGGGGCACACAAGGTTCGGTCGTGTCTGATGGTGAGAGCGCTCGCGGGGGTCGGGCGCGGCGTGACGATGGTGGGAGAGCTCGCGGGGGTCGGGTGCAGGGTAACGAAGGTGGGAGAGCTCGCGGGGATTGGCACTCGCGCCAACGCCGGAGCCGGAGCCGGAGCCCCCGGAACGGCCGTCGCGACCATCGCCGGGATGGCGGACATGACAGGTCGTCGTCGTCTCGACTCACCAGCAGCCGGAGCCGGAGCCCGGGCCGGAACAGGAGCCGGGAACCACTCAGGGCGGGCGGTCGTGGTCGCAACAGGGGGGGACAGGAAGAACGGAAGTCCAACCAAGGAAACAGGCAAGTGATGTGTGATCGGGACGATTTTCGTAGCTCGGGATTGTTGGGAGAAGACAAAGAAGCTTCGGAGGACTATTCTCTTGGTTTTTCCCCTCACGCTCCTCGTGCGCCTGCTGGTAGAGCCGCCCCTTCCATGCATTCTCTGGCGTTCAAGTTAGCCAACATGCAACTCCGAGATCATTCAGTTGCTGTGAAAGGTTCTGTCCCGCCCCTTGTTGTTCAAGACCCCCCCGTGCCTTCCATGCTTCCGAGAGACCGTGCTGATTCGCCACACCGTATGCCCTCACAAGCGTCTACTTCCGCTTCCCGTACTGAAATGATGTTGGAACAAGTACTTTCGCTCCTTCAATCCCAAACGCCGGGCCATGTTGTGGATGCCGACGCCAACGCCGATGTGCAACCGCTTGCGCCTCAACCAGCACCTAGACCGCCGCTTGCCTCATCTATTTCGCCACGAACGGAGTTGGTCCCGGGGCGGGGCCATCCTTCGATTTTTTCTGACGCTACAGTAGGCACAGGGACACCTGCAGGACTCGCATCCATCAAGGCGCAGGAGGCACCGCGTTCGGAGGAGAAGATGGCGGTTCCAGTCGCCGCGGCCTCCCTCTCGCAACCTTTGCAGGAGCCCCCCCCCCCCTTTCAGCGTGTGTCTCTTACGTCTCAACCCGTCCTTACAGCTGACACCGTTGTCTCGAGGCCGGGGCCAGGCGCATCGTTGCAGGCCCGGGACGACGCTGGTTTGCCTCTCTCTTCCACGGGAGCACGAGCGAGCCGAGACCCTTTGGATGCTGCGGACGCCTCTGCAGCGGAGGCTGACATCATTCGCATTCAAGACAAGATGGACAAGCTCAAGCCGGATTCCCTTGACAGTATTACTCGCTTGCCCCTTGGCCCCGACCCTGATGAATTTGCTCGCTTCGCGTCTAGCTGCCAGGCGGTGGTCATCGAAATTCTCGACAAAAGCGATGTCAAGAAACAGCAGACTTTCACCTCCCCCACCTGGGTCCGCGGATGGCTTCCTTTGTTGCGCAAACGTGTTCGCTCTGCGGTTCTTGAAGGCCAAACCACCAACCGTGCCACCATGGAATTCCTCGATGCCACCTTTCAGCAGGTAGAAAATCATCTGCGCAAGGAACCTTGGCGGCTGCCTGGGACACTCAAGACAAGAGCTCGGGGATTGATCGTCTTCGTAGTTTTGGCGTGTCCAACGGCGAGACCTACGGAGAGTACATTCGTCGCTTTAAGGCTTTGACCATGACTGTCATGGTTTCTCATCACGCGTTCAAGCCTTCGGATGCACAAGTGCAAGTAGCCGTTCGAGACTCCATGTTGAAGCAGTTCCCGGTAGTGTCAGGACAGGTGTACAAGGATGAGCAGCTGTCCATGGAAGCCCCTTTTGGGCGTTCGCCTTCGTGTCTGGAGGATATGTGGGAGGTGTTGGAAAAGCGTGCGTTGGCGCACACGCCGGCTGTGAACGGAGATGAGTTCTTTTCGGTGTCTTCCACGAACGCTCGGAGTTCGTCTGCTGTGTCGCGGGCTGTAGCTTCTTCAACTTTGCGTTCGACTGTGACTCCTGCCTGAAGCAAGGGCTCTTCGGCCGCCGTGATGAGTGTGGACCCTTTGCCTAACGATGATCGAGACCCTTTTCTGTTGCACTACAGCGATTGGCCGCTACAAGGACACTTTCGAGAGGTTTATCTTGTCGCTGGTGAATTGGCCAAGAATGATCCGCCGTTGTTCACACCCCTGGTTTCGGCGGAAGACCGCCGCAACGCGCTGCAGCTGTACAAGGGCAAGTGCCTCAACTGTTTGGGCGAAGATCACCCTTTCAAGTTTTGTACTCGCGGTTTCGTTAACCCCACCGATCTGCTCAATAATGACATCAAGCTTCACATGGAAAAAGATTCCACGCTCTGGAGTAGGTGGCAAAAACGCATGACCACATACAGACGCGCCTCAGGACGGAACACCCAACGTAACAATTCCGCGGGACGCGCCCGCCGCCCATCTGACAAGTCGGACACGAACAAGTCCTCACACACACAATATTCGTCGGATTCCGCTACTTCAGCAAAGAAAGGCTGGAGGGGCAAAAAGTGACAGGCCGGTGACGGAGTTCAGCAGGTACTACCGTCAACAGCATCCACCGTGCACCCTTTTGGAGTCTCCCAAGATGTTCGTGTACAACCTACTTCTTTGCATACTCCCACCTCTTCCTGTACTAGTTTATTTTCTCGGCCCGCCTCCTCTTCGCCCCCCTCATCGTCTGTTGGTGTTGGACATGACAACCCCAATCCGGCAGCACCTTTGTGGTGTGGGCGCCCGGGAGGTAAGACGTCGAGCGGTTCACCCCTGCTCACCTCGTCGTCTCGGGTAACGGAAGGAACCAGAACCTCTTCCTCTACTGTTCGTCAAGATCTTCCTGGTGTTGTCAACCGGGATTCTTCTCAAGCAGTACGAGAGCCTTCTTCTACACTCGTCGAAACATCCGTCGACTCTCCTTCCCTCTCTCGGCTTTCGTTGTCTTCGACCGTCCGCCGACCCCGTGAGACAGCACCTGATGATAAAAATTCTTCCTCTGCTGCCCACCAAGTGCTGACTGCACCACTGCCATCAAGATCAGGTGGTAGTGCCCACCATCC